CCCTACTAAGAATTATTTTTTGAGTGCAGGATTGACAGAAATAGAATGGCACTAGATCACATCGTAATTAATGCCAGACCTGCTACAACCTCATGAGCCCCTATTGCACCTTTATTGTACAATTCATTTTCTTATATAACTAAGGACTAACTTTGAATTCTTTGCAGGTAACCTGGAGCCAAGCCCCCCAACACAATCGGAGCGCTTTATTCGTAGCAAACCATATGCTCTTCCAATTGGAGCATCTTGTACAATATCAAACCGTTTGCCCCGCCAATCGGAGAAATTTAATACAGATCGCATCATCCGCTCTGCTAATCAGAGCACTTTGTACATACTGCACCATCGCTTCTCCAAATCGAAGATTTCAGATAGATCATTGCAAACTTCGTCGCCAACTTTGCCAATCGAAGGATGGGCCATTCAATTTCTTCACATATGCCACCGATCGACGGCCGCAAATTAGCTATGCAATCAAGAGTACCTCTTGGGAATGCTTATTTATTTTCCTACTTATTACGTTGAATGTTTTGACATTTTATTTGTGCAGCTTACACGAGTTTTTACATTTTTTTTTGTTCAAATTTAAATACTCCTATTGCGCGGAGGTTCAAATTTAAATTCAAATTCTAATACTCCCATCGCATGGAGATTTAAATTCAAAGTAAAATATTCTCATCGCATGTAGATTTAAATTAAAAGTCAAATATTCCCATTGCGAGGAAATTCAAAGTTGAATACTCCCATCGAGTGGAGATTCAAATGCTCTGACAACTTCGGAGCAATACACATCCCGGCTAACATTTGAAGTCAAATTCAAACACCCATCCTCGACATCCCAAATAATGCTCCAAATCTCGGAGGCTTCAGATTCAAACATCCCATCGCCCAAAGATCCCAAATAACGGCTAGCTGACAGTCATGCATTGTTATTCCTACATATTTAAATTATATCCTAACATATTTGCATTAGGATATATGGGTATGTGCGTATCTTCCATTTTACAGGTTCAAACACTACAACGTGAAACTTCCTCTAAGCAACAAACCAGGTTACACCGCTAATGGGGGATAACAGACTCATAAGCAAGCCAAGGATCTAGCCTCCAACTCAATTCAATCAGTACAACTCCAAATTGTCAAATCTCTCAAATTCTATAATCAAGCTACAATTCAAAAGTCATTGGGTATCAAAATATTTCTGTCTTGCGGTATTGTCATAACATGATACTGGGGCAATTTCTGCAAGCACAACTCTCTCCAAATCACCATCGAAAACTATATGTGGCCTGGTACTCGTTAAGCCCGAGGTATGTAGACGATTCAAAACCAAAATTCTGTCGTAATCTCACAACTCATGATCTTTCACAATTCAAAACATAGTCCCTGCAATATATTCCTAGAGTTGGTACAAAATTGGTCATTCGGTCAATTTCTTTGCCCGCAAATTCTTTTATTGTCTCTAGTCAAAGAGGGGCAGCTGTTGACGATCAATTTTGACCCTCCCCTTTTAAATTAAATTTTTTACACTTATTAATCTGCAATAAATTTAGTGGATTATTTTTTAAATTAATAATACCTATTCTTTCAAAATATAAATGATATAATACATGTAATAATAGTTAATAATATTAATTTTATAATCAATAGTAATTTAGTTTAAATATTTATATATTATATTACTTCTACAGCTTTAATTAATTAAACTAACTAGTAAATTTGTCCGCGCTTTGCGCGGTTATAAAAGTTCTTATTAAATATATGACATAATTATTTTAATTTTGGATATTAAAAAAAATTCTAACACTTAAGAGTTTTTCTCTCTTAATTTTAAAATTCTTAATCCTATAAAGTTACTTGTTTTGTATAATATATGACTGCTAAACTTTAATTGCAAATCCTCATGTGGTAAAACTGTTTTAATAATCATTGGTTAAAATCTATTCATTACTGAGAACACAATACTGACCAAAAAATAAAAGTTGATGAACATCTCGTTTCAATAAATCACATAGTGTACCTCACATTATTTTTACCACACAAACCTTTCTTGACCCTTTCAACCTTTTGCTCCTTTTTTAGCTAGCCTTCGATGAATTAATAAGATTCACCAGTTAAAGGGAGTATCAATTAAAACGAATTGAAAAATAAGTATCAAAATCAAATACAGTCGATTTATTTTCGAGATATGTCCAAGAGAATAAAATCCAGACATGTCCCTTCATTAGTCCCATGTCTCGACAAAATATAAGAACCAATATCCTTTTGTGAAAGTTCTCACTGAGTTGCTCAAAATTCAATCTTATTAATTTGTGGAACACAACTTGGTGTGAATAAAGTTTTATATGAAAATAACATCTAAACAATGAAAGGACATTTTGAATAAAAGGTTTAAATATACATGAAAAATAAGAACTTTTTCCATCTGAAAATATTATAAATTATTTTAAATAGAGTATGTCGAATTAGTGCACACTACACATTAATAGAGAGAACATAAATTTGTTTTGGGTTGGCATAGATGACCTGCTCCGAAAAATAATACTCACATTGCATCATATAGTCATCCTTTGTAAGTATTCTCCCAATCTCTAATCAACTTTTATGACTATATCAAATAAATTAAAATTCATTCTTTCATTTTTTTGGGTTTAAGTTGAATTCATGTACCTTGATTTTCTTTATATATATATAACACCAATCAGAATAGTCGAAAGAAGGAAAAGGTCAATCTAAGGGATGAAAGGAAGAAGGGAAGCATAGAAATATTATTAGGAAGACATACTTGAGAATATATAACAACACTCTCAACTCTCATGATTTGTAGAAAACCCCGAGTATTTGCGTGTGAACTTCAAGTTTCCTTCATACATTTTTCTGTCATAAGTGGGTACTTCTAATATGAAGAGAAGCAGCCTGATTCCTAGTCCTCCAAAAAGAGAGGAGGTGAAAAGAAGTTGGTGGTTGTTCTAACGGGGCGGAAGGGATTATAAAACGTTACGGATAGAGAATAAGAATTAAAATGGTGGCAATGGATTTTCAACCATTACAGAAAGTGAGCAAGGCGTGTACTAAGACTTTAAAGGCGTGTCTTTTCAATTTTTCTTCTTCTTAATATAGCAGATAAATAAACTAAATGAGGAAGNATATTTTTTCATGATTTTATAAACAAGTATTACGATTAATCTATAAGATCATTGAGCTTGGGATGTTGGAAGACTCGGAAAGCCAGGGTGATTTCGGGTTGTGTAGACGTATTAAGGTTGAGGAGGTTATGTGGAAGATGAGTAGGGGTAGGGAGACCGGACCAGACAACATTCCAGTAGATTTTTGGTAGAACATGGGCCGGGCAGGCTTGGAGTGGCTTACTGATTTATTTAATATTATTTTTAGGACGAAGAGAATGCCCAAAGAGTGGAGGCGGAGTTTGATAGTCCTGTTATACAAGAACAAGGGTGATATCCATAATTGCAATAACTATATGGGTATCAAGCTGCTGAGTCATACCATAAAAGTTTAGGAGAGGGTGCTGGAGAGAAGGGTGAGAAGGAGTATGTCTATTTCGGAGAACCAGTTCGGTTTCATGTCAGGGCGGTCGACTACAAAAGCCATTCATCTAGTAAGGAGGTTAATGGAACCGAGTGTTGGCCAGTCAAGAAATCTCATGTTCAGAAGTTGAAAGTAGCGAAAATGAGAATGTTGATATGTATGTGTGGACATAACAAGAGAGATAGGATTAGGAACGAGTATATTAGGGACAAGGTGGGCATGGATCCTATATAAGATAAGTTGCGGGAATCGAGGCTGAGATGGTTCGGGCATGTGAAGAGGAGAGACCCTAATGCGCCGGTTAGGAGGTGTGAGCGGTTGACTATGGCGGGTTAGAGGAGGAATAGAAGGAGGCCTAAGAAGTATGGGGTGAGGTTATTAGGTAGGACATGATGCTTATTCAGCTTACCGAGGATATGACCCTCGATAGGAGGGTGTGGAGGTCGAGGATTAGGGTTGTGGGTTGACAGGTAGTCTAGAATTTCATCTAGGCATCCTAGTAGTATTAGTAACTAGTCTTGTATTTTGCTATGCATAGCCCCTTGATATTTCACATTGTGTCATTATTCCCAGCAAGATTGCATCTATTTTATAGTGTTGTAGTCTTAGATATCTGTTGTTGCATGTATCTCTATTTGCGCCCATGTCTAATTAGCTGGTTGTTGCTACTGTCTATTTATTGCTTTATTTTTACTTTCTTTTGAGCCGGGGGTCTTTCGAAAATAATATTTCTACCTTTATTAGGTAGGGGTAAGGTCTCTGTACACTTTACCCTTCCTAGACCTCAATTGTGGGATTTTACTAGGCTTGTTGTTGTTTATTACTATTAATCTAATAATTTAAGTCTTGAATTATATTACCTCTATTACTTTAATTAACTAAACAATTAGTTTTCATAATTTAATGGATGAATATTATATTTTAATTATTTCATACTAACTAATCACATTAATTAAAATACATTTGATAACTATATTTTATTACATCTCATTAGGATTAATTAAGTGTAATTAATTTAGTTATATAAGGGGTCAAAAACTCAAAATAGGTTGCAATTGCAATTGTTTAGTTTTAACCCAATATGACCATAATTTAAATCCCTAGCTAGCTTAATTTGGCCCAAAACATAGGCTCAATGCCTCAAAACCCGGCCTGGAAACCTCCACCCCCATCCTATTTCGCAATCTGCACCACTCCCTTCCAACCAATCGTTGTGCGCCACATCACACGTTCTCAACACTCACAAAAAAATACAATGCATTTGGACCATTGATCCAAATCATAAATGGTCCACAATTAATCTCAACCTTCCTTTTATTTTTAAATAATTCAGTGTTCTACCTCAACCGTTGGATCCTTTTGATACAACGACAACCATTTTTTCTACATTAAACCTCCAAAGATTTGGAGTCGTTGATCAAAATGATCCAACGCTCCCCTCCAGTGTCCCATTTTAATTAGGAAACAACCCCAAACCCTAATGACTTCCCCTAATGACCCCCATATATCCTTGAACCTTGTATAAATCCGCGCAAGGTCACTCAAATTAACCCAAATGTTCATCCTCTCTTTCTTCCAGCCAAGAATCCCCCCGGTATTTTCCATTTTCCTCACCTGACTTTGAATCCCAACCCCCGAAACCCCAGACCAAAAGATGAAAGTGTCCAAACCTCATGATTTTGCTTCCTGTCGTTCAAATCATCATATGCATCTGAAGATTTATGAGGATCTCGAACTACATCATGATGATTCTTGGTCAAGATGATTCTTGGTTAAGAGGTCAAACGTAGTGACCTTTGGACATAGGCTTTGACCAATAGTCCTTTGGTCTCCAACGACCGATTTTCTTCAAGGTAAAAGCTCCAACCTACTTTCTCCTTTGTTTTTCTTCTGTTTTCCCCCCTTTTGCTATCATCAGCAGTCATTCGTCATTCCCCACTACCTCTTTGAGTTCAAATGGAGCCTTAAGGCATCAATTCTACTACAAATAAAGTATTAAATACCCTCACCAAACGCACTGAAAAAATACAGAGAAGAGCATTGAAAGAATACACAGACACACACTAAAAAGTCTAAGAATTTTCTGTTGGTTCAAGTATTCAGAAGTTCTTCTCTAATTTCTCTTTTCTTTCTCTTATTCATGCTCGAGTTCGAGTACGGTAAGTTGATTGTTGAGGTTGGGTTCTCAGACTTTTACTGATTTTTCTTTACCTGGTTTGCTGCTCCAAAGAAGTCTAGTGAACACTGACCTCCCTCTTTCATTCTTCAATATTTTATTTGGCTCTCTTTTTATGATGTCTACCTATTAATTCTCGGTTGTTCATAATGTTCGTCAATAACATGTGACCCTTTATTATATTTTGTATTTGTGTTATCTTTGTTTTAAAATTAATGATGTTTTCCTTATTGTTATCTCCGTGATGTTGTTAAATCTGTGATTGTTGTCGAACTTTGTTTCTCATGACTTAGCTGGTTAAAATGATTCTACATTGTTGTTACTCTTATAGGAAAATCCTCTTGAGCCTTAATGTTAGTTGAACTAAAACCCATGTTAATAATTACATGTAGTCTATCCTTGTTGATTAAGTAATAGACATGTGCACACTGTCATGTTGACTAAGTTGACTGAATCATATCCTTGAACTTCTCCTGATATCCTATTAAGACCTTCATACCTGTGGCAATGTGCTATCTTGATCTTTCCGCCTATGATATTACGTTGTATTGGTTTAGCTCAATGAATGATTCTCATTAAGGATTTTGCTCATGTTTCTCATATTGATTTGTTTGCCTAAATGACTCTAGTTGGCAGTCTTGTTCATGATACTATGGTTCTGATAGAATGATTCATATGTAATTATCATAACAACTTGTAAAAAATAAAATCATATGGCGAACTTTGTTGGCATAACTTGCTAGTAAACCTGATCACATGTCCAAATGATAATTTTTTGTGATTTGCTTGCCTTTACTAATTGAAAATGAATGTCTTTACTTGTTATTTCATGACTAATTAACAACATTGTTTTGATACTTCTCACTCATGAATCTGAGTATTGTTTGGTTCTAGTAATTTAAAAACCTGATAGACCGTGCATTGTCATGATTAGATACCATTTCCATTAGGTTTAAATAAAAACTAAAGCTAGCCTTCTCATTCATGTTGATGTCTCTGTTGACCTAGTTAATTGGTATACTCTTAGGAAATTCTGAGTGAGGTTATTAGCTTAAGTGTTTAATGAAGTAAGGTCCTAGTTATGTGTATACTTGCTTAAAATATTTTGGAAGACTATTAGGATGTCTGCAACCTATACTAATGGTTTGAACCTACCTAAGGGAGGTTCATAAGTGTTAGATTATTAGTAAAGTTAACAAAAGTCACCTAATGATATCTCAGACAACTTAATAAGACATCCCTGAACTTGAGAATGTTTCAAGGTCAATATTGTGTTAGTGCTTAGCTGCTTATGGTTTGGCACTCTAATGATGGCTTCAATGCTTACTATGGTTGTTTGATTTCAAGTTGGTGTTTCTGCGTGGCTGAACCTTTGAAAGATTTTATGATGAACTTTCTATATTAACCCTTTTCATGTTCTATGTTAGTTGAACTGTTGAGTTAATATTTGTTTGTGCTCAAATATTTGAGGAAGAGTGATGGTCAATGTTAAATGGTATTTGGGTATGAGCCTGGCTTTGTGGTTGAGGCACCCCTACCTGGCACAAGCACTGCTCGGGATCCATGAGACCCTCGTGAACTCTGAAGTATCACGGATCCATAGGGAGACTTCATAAATAAATATGGTTCACCCTAAGCCCTTAGTCATTGACCTAAACTAATCTTCAAAGTATTAACACAAATGAAAATTGACTTTACTGTATTCTTTAGATCCTTTTCATTATTACTTATTATAATTTGTCTTACTTCATCTTTATATCGACACATGATAATCATCTTCTTTTTCTTTTCTATGCATGATTATTGGGCCTATTGAGTTCATTTGGAACTCAGGCCCAAGCTCGGAGAAACTAGGTTGCTTCCTCTCCTGTTGGAGTCTGCCACTACTTAGAGTCAATTTGGGCCTGACTTGCTTTGCCAACCCAACATAGAAGAGTCCAGTTTTTCTCCCTTTACCTAAATATATGCTATAGTTATTTCGCTTTTCTGTATATGTCTTTGGATAACTAACAATATTATTGGATGTTTGTAGCTACTCCGATTGTGTAGGCAAGTCAAATCTGATAGATCAAAGGGCTACTATGATTTCAAAGACTAATTGTTCCATTTCAAGCAAACTTGACATTTTAAAACTGAACGCTTTTGATCTTAACTGTTTGATAACTAATCTTTCTTTTATCGTTTAATGAGTTTTTTTTTGGTTTTAGGCATCAACGGGATCCGGATGAGTTTAAAACCAAAACAGAATTTGAGACAAGTCTAAACGTCTACCAGGTTTGAACTTAATTGGTTTAAAAAACAAACAAAGTGAACCATACCATTTTGAAACAAAAGAGACAAGCCATGCTATTCAAACAAGTGAGGTAAACCATTGTTGTTTCTGAAGAATCAAATACCCTTTTTAATTATACACGGATTGAAACAACTTTTAATAAATAGACGAGGTACACTCTTTTTTCATATAATATAAATTTTATTCTTGTTTCTTTTACAAAACATAAATGAGAAGGTTTCTGAACAAACATTGTTATTTCAAAAGTAACTATACTATCAGTTCTCAAAACAAAGACGATTTTCAAATGAGTTTTAAAATATTTTCTCACTTTCTTATAAAATCCCATTTAGAAATTTTAACCAATAATCAACTAGAATATAGATATTTCTTTCCTCGAACCTAGACTATGTTCAAGGATCTACCTCAGGTAGATTTTAGGGGATGCCTAACATATTTCCCTTAGAATAACTAGAACCCTTACCCAAATCTCCCTGGTTAGTAGACCATTAGGACAATAATTTTTAAAAACTTATAGGTACCCTAGTATACCTTAAATATTATGTGGCGACTTTTTTTTATCAACTTAAGAGGAACCACTAGTTTTATTTTGTTTTGACCTATAAAAAATAGGGTCCAACAACATGGCGACTCTGCTGGGGATTACACTTAGGTTCTGACCTTAGCGAACTTAGGCTAGACTTTGAACTCAGGGATATTTGTTCTGTTCCGCTTTAATTGTGTGTTAAACTTGCAAATATGTGTTTACTCATTTTATCCTACTTCTTTACACTTTACATGACTTTAAAACGCTAATATGTGTTTATCTGTATATTTTTGGTAATTTTTAGTTTTTACTAACAAAGCAGAAATTTACAGCTCAAGTTACTAAGGTTGGATATTCTTTCTAGTCCTTAGTTAAATATTATATACTACCTGTACTAATAACTAACTATAAATCAGGGAAGTAGGTGTAGTTTGGTACTCCTCAGTAGATCTTCTTCATGGATAAAAGTTTAACTCTTCAAGTCTTTTTCTGAGTCTGGGTTTCATACAACAATCATCTTGACTATCTGCCCTTGTTATCTCTGTTGTGACCTAAAGATCCTCTCATTTATGTCTTGCCATACATAGTAGACACATCCTGCTAAAGTCATTCGGTATATCTCGTCATTGGCTGATCCACCTTTGGCACGGAAATATACCCAAACTAGCTCCTGGCTCCATTCCATTGCATGTCGTGTGACACCCATCCAATGTAGTATTTTGCTCCAGATAGAAACAACATATGTGCACTTGAAGAATATATGCTTAATGCTTTCCTCTTCCACGTTGCACATAGGACATTGTAGATCATTTGTTACCCCCACCTTGCTAATCTCTCTCGAGTGCTCAACTTGCGCAGGATAGCCAAATAAAGGGAAAAGATCCATTTGGAGCTCCTCCATTGTTACACACTAGTTTTCTCCATGACATCTTATATTGTTCTCCTCTTAGCATCATGTATAACTTTTTATTAGAAAAATTCTCCATCTCAAGAATCTCAATCATATTTATGCCTGTATCAATTAAGCATTGCTTAGCCTTCAAAATCTTCTTCATCATCCACGAAGATTGTCTACGTTCAATGTCTTTTATATCTCTACCTCTCCCATAGTAGATGTGTATCCATTGTACCCATAGCTTATCCTTTTTTTGAGCTATATTCCATAGTAGCTTACATATTGCAGCCTTATTCCATTTAGATATATCTAACAAGTTCCATCCACCAACAACTTTAGGTTGGCACAGTCTGTCCCATGATACTAAAGATCTCTTAGATATATCAACTCCCCCAGACCAAAGAAATTTCCTACATATTGCTTCTATTATATGTATAGCTTTCTTTGAAAGACAAAGATCTGTGACCAGTAGACTTGGATAGAAAACAAGACACTCTTGATCTGTTGAATTTTTCCTACATAAGATAAAAATTTTGCATTCCATGACGTTATTATTCCTTTCATCCTGTCTAACAGTGGCTGAAACTGTATAACAGACATCCTTTTTGTACTTAGAGAAAATCCCAAATATCTAATTAGAAGCACTCCTTTGGTGAATTCATGTTTAACGACGGCTGCCTATTGAATTGCTGAGCTTACTCTACGAAAGTAGATAAAGCTTTTGCTTTTAGCACTGACGCACTAGAGAACTCCATGAAACATCCATATAACATTTAAATAGATTTTTCATCACCTCTACAGAACAACAGTAGATCATCAGCAAATCCCAACTGGACTATTTGAAGTTATTCCCACCTTGAATGGTAGTTGATGTCTGGTTGGTATTTCAAGGTTCTGAGTTGTCTGCTTAGGTAGTACACGGCTAATGCAAACAGGAAAGGTGACAATGGATCTCCTTGTCTTAGCCCCTTTTTGCTGGAAATGGTCTAGTAGGCCTTCCATTTATCATAACAAAGTAGGAGACAATGGTAATACACTTCATAATCCGTTTTACAAAGCAGATTGGAAATTTCAAATTTATCAGAATTTGCTCCAGGAAATACCACTCCAAAGAGTCATAATCTTTTTGCATGTCTAGCTTAATCGTGCATCTTGGAGTTATCCCTTTCCTGCCATATCCTTTCACTAATTCATGACTTAAAATGATGTTGTATGAAATGATCCTCCCTGGGACAAAAGCAGCCTGACAGTTATCAATGAGACTAGCCATGGCCATTTTTAATCTTGAGATGAGCACTTTTGATATGATCTTATACATCACAGTACAACATGAAATTGGCTTGTACTCTTTTACTGAACTTGGAATTTTTACCTTTGGAATTAAAGTCATTGAAGTACAATTGATTGGCTTGTAAATATCTGTAGTGGCAAATAATTGTTTTGTTTCATTGATCACATCTTCTCCTATAATAGGCCATGCTTTCTTAAAGAAAAAAGTATTAAATCCATCACACCTTGGAGCCTTGTTGTCATTGATGTTACTGACTGTTGTATATATTTCTTCTATAGTGACTGGCTTTATTAGTATCAGTTGTTGTTCTATTGTGAACATTGGTCCTTCTTTCATTATATCTAGATTTATTACAGGCATTTGTTTAGCAGCTTTACCCAAGAACTCCCTATAGAACCTCACTACCTCCTTTTGCACCTCATGTTCTGTTTGCAACAGTGTCCCTGCTTGATTTACCAGCGATTTGATATTAATCTGTGATATTTTATTCTTCAAGAAAGCATAAAAGTACTCACTGTTTGAGTCCCCAAGTTTTAGCCACTTGGTCCTGGATTTTTGTTGTAGTATACTTTCCTCTATCATCCCTCATTTATCTAGTTGTACTCTCAATTCCTTCTCAGTTTCAAATAGAGGTGTCTGGTGATATGTGTCCCTCATTTGTTCTTATGTCTCTTTGAGCTTCCTCCTAATTGATTGTATTTTCTCCCCGACTCTTTTGAATTCCTGAGTATGTAGATTATTCAATTCCTTCTTAACCGCCTTAAGTTTCAGCCACACTTTTTGCATCCCCTCCCATTTACTAGGGGTCTTCCATGCATACTCCACCACCTTCATGAACTCAGGAATATCATCCACTCTATAGAATCGATATGGCTTTGGACCTCCTGAACTACATCTTCAAATTGAATTCTCAGTGGTGAATGGTCTGAGATGAATGGGTCCATAACTACCACTTCCATCTGTTTCATTGTTGTCATCTACTCTGCATTCATAATTGCTCTGTCAATTCTGCTCCAGACATGGTTATTTGTCCATGTGAATTTTCTCCTAATATACTTTAGTTCATTCATGTTGTTATTCAGCATGAAATCCCTAAAGTATCTTATCTCAACCTCTTGTACTGGATTGCCATGGATCCTATCATCCACTCCCAATATTGTATTATAGTCCCCCATTACTACTCATGCTCCATCAGTTCCACTATGAATCACTTCTAATTCATTCAATAATGTTTTTCTATTATCAATAGTATGTATGCCATATATTGTAGTAATATATAACTGTAACTTAGGGCACAAATAGACACAATTCCATGTATAATCTGATTGCTCTTCACCATCTCGTTGAATTGTAAAATATTTGGATCCCATATTACCCATATCCTTCCTTTACCATTGGCCTCATAGTTAGTAGACTAACTCCAACCTACTGCAACCTTCTTGATTATTTGATTGACATTTTTTTCCAGTAACTCTATGTTCTACTATAGCCAGTAGGCTAATTTTATTTACCCTAATGAAACTACATAAGTCCTTAGGCTTAAACAGCTTATTGAGACCCCTAATATTGCAAGCTACTATTTTCATGCCGGATTAAAGAGATTTTGTACTACCCCTGTGTTCCCACTTATGCTATATTGGCCTCTTTCAGCATAATTTTCTTATTCTGGTATTGGTAATTGCTCACCCTGTTTAACAGTGAAGTCATTTATTATACTCATATGCCCATCACCAGTAACATGAGTTGTTTTAGCATCTGATTTCCCCCTAACTTCCTTCCATCCTTCAGTTATCTCTGAATCTACTTGCTTCCCTGACTTAATGCTTGCTTTCAATTGATCATCCTCTTTTTCCTATACTACTATAATTGTTCCTTTAGCCTGCCACACCTTTTTCTACACATTGATCATCGCAATTTTTGGCTTTTTTATTTGTTTTGGTTCTTTACAGCAGTGCCCAATCATCAAACAGGTTCCACAATATTTTGGTTTCCATACATATTCTACCCTTTGAACAAATTGACTTCCATTTGCCTCCCTCAAGCCTTCAGTGCCGCAATTGCGAGGGTTTGCATTTGCGATCCCATGTCGTAATTGCAACATCTGTAACTGATCAAATAGCTGGGAGATGGGAGGCTATGGGGGATCGCAGATGCGGCTTTTTGACCAAAGCGACGGTTCCATAGATGCTGTTAAGTGACCGCAGGTGCGGAAATCACTGGGCAGATGTGCATTAATTTCAAGACTTAGCCCATTTTTCCACACACTTCTACTTGGTCTTGGGAGGATTTGAGAGCACGTTTGTGGAGGATTCTCATCAACTTCAAGAGGTAAGTGATCCCTATTAATTCTTGAGTTAAATACACGAATTATGAGTAGATTTAGCATGAAATTAAGGGGGGAAATGTGGGATTTTGTTGGAACTTAGGGTTTTGATAAAAATAAGATTTGACCACAAAATTGATTATGTAATTGAGAATAAATTATATATTTGAATTCGTGAGGTCATGGGTAACATTTATATTCGAAAATTTCCAAAATTTGGGCACGTGGGTCCTGGGTGAATTTTAGGAATCTTCCAAATTGGGTTGGGTAATTACTCTAATAGCTAAATTATGAACTTTTGAGCATATATTTATTAGTTTGTACGACTTTTGGTTAGTTTCGGAGTCCTTGACGTCGTTTGAGGAGTCCTAGTGAGGTTGGAGAGCTGGAATGCATGCTTGGAATCGAGGTAAGTCTCTTGCCTAACCTTGTAAGAGGGAACTTAGCCCTTTAGGTGTATTAATTGTTGCGTGCTACTTGTTGTGAGGAGCTATGTACGCACGAGGTGAAAAGATTCCGTATATAGCTATATTTATTATAGGTCCGGGTAGACTTAGATTCACATCATGCCTTTAATTGCCATTTTATGCCTATCATATATATTAATTATCTTGATTAGGACTGAGATTGAGGATTTAAATTAAGATACCGACTTAGCCTCTTACGTTGTAAAATTTGGTAAATATTTGATAATCTATAGATCTGTGTCTTCTCGTCTCGCATGTGTATCCGCGAGCGAGGTAAATTTCTCTACTCTTATGGGATCAGACCATTCGCCTCGGTAGTGATACAATTACTCTTATGGGATCGGGTTGTTCGCCTTGGCAGTGATATAATTAGTCTTATAGGATCGGGTCATTTGCCTCGGTATGCTGGTAATACTATTCTTATAGGATCGGTTCATTCACCTCGGCAGTACCACTATTCCTATGGGATCGGGTCGTACGCCTCGCCAGCTTCGTGCTTAATAATTAGAACTGGATTTGGTTTGGTAACACTTGAGTTAGCGCCTTTAAGGCCAGTTATGACATGTTTAGTGATTTGATATAGACTCATGTGTAGAATTGCTATAGTTACTTTTATTTGCTTCGTTGTTACTTGTTGTACACTCACCACGTCTACTTTATGTAAATCTATTATTATTTGACCTCTAGTAAGTGTCAAGTCGACCCCTCATTACTATTTCATCGAGATTAGACTAGATACTTACTGGGTATTTATCACGCTGATAGTTTTGTTGAGAAAGAGTATGTACGGTTACATGAGATCTTACTTATTTCATTCTTCTAAAAAGGAAATTTTGCTTTAAATGTTAAAAAGGGGTAACTAAACTGTAATTTCACTTGTGGTCTTGCCTAGCGGCGTCGTTAGGTGCCATCACGACTTATTATGGGTTTTGGGTCATGACAGTTTTGGTCTGAGGTGTACTAGCAGATTGATTGTGACATGAAGAGGTTGGTTTAGAGGATGACTCGAGTAAGGAAAGTTCTGAATGCATGATGTATTATGGATATATGGAAGTCTTGGAGTGATTCGGGTTTGCTATTTATGGTGGATATAGCATTATAAAAGAAGGGATTCACTCGGTTGCTAAAATGTGGGGTTACTTCTTATGTGTTTGTGCGCTAATGGAGTACAAGTTATTTGGCTTGTATTGGCAGTACATTGGGGATTTGAGCATAGTGGATGACTCTCGATAAGGTTCTAATGAGTTCAAGATTCGTATGTGGTATTTGAGGATTTTCTGGATTTGTATGTGGATAAGATATGAGATTTACATTGAAAGTTGTCGAGACTTGTGGCATATCCGTATCATTAGGGGTTCTACATTTCAGTATCAGAGAGGTTGAGGAAACATCGTCATATTCACATAAAGTCTCTTCAGAGTGGGTATCTCAGATGCGGTACTTTTGGTACTTAAGAGGGAATATAATGGTTTATGGGCTTTAGGACGACGAGGGTTCATGGTAAGATCTGTTGTAGTGAACTTTGGGTTAAGGATCGTAGTGTACTGGCAAGGAAATATGTTAACTTGAAGGCAATTCATAAGGAACTCGGAGGAATAGTATAGCTTGGTAGTAGCTTGGATCAGCATAGTAATGGATGTTATCGGTTCTTTTGGTTCTTATAATGTGGTGAGGCTTTACCGGTGTGTTGTGGAAATACTCTTGAGTTTGGAAATTGGTGTAACTTGGTTAAGTTAGAGGAATTCAGTTCTGATGGCTTGGTTATGTGCATATGAGTTTCGAAGAGTTCTCGACGGTGTCGACCTCTGCTAGAGATGGATATTTTTCACAAGTATGAAGGGTATGTTGCATGTTGTGACTTTCTCACGAATGGGTACAGTGGTAGGTTTCTGGATGATGGATCATGTATCCCACTTGTGCTTCAGAGTTGTTAATAAGATTCTCATACTTTTCATATGATGGCATGATAGATGCGGTGCGACATGTGGGATTGAGGTTTTCATGTACGAGGTTTAGGTTCTGTTAGAAGATAAGGTCATGAGTTCGGGATGGCAATGGAAGTTTTTAGGTGTTTAGAAGAATACTGGCACTATCTTGATATTACCTGAAAAGAGCGTGTATTTCAAAAAGGGTACACTATATTTTGACTTGCGGATGCTTGACTGGTGTTACGGTAATCGCCTAGTTGATCGAATGCTGACATCCAGATATTATGAGGGATGTGTCAGTCATTTGGGTGGTCGAGTTGAAATCGAATATGGAGATTCTTGTATTTTAAGAATTTGAAGGCTATGAGGGTCTCATAGACAGATTGTTCCTTGGTTGCGGTTAGTAAAGGTATGTTAAGAGGTTGATAGTTGAGTGTATGTATTGTTGATGGTTATGGTGGACTTCTCGGAGGTTATATATATATATATATATATATTTTGGGAGGATCGAAATTGATTTGGAAGCCATAAGTAGGCTTATTAAGGATACGTATTCTACATCGGGTCAGATTTGTTTACTCAGCACAACTATTGTTGAAGGGTGTGTCATAGGTTAGAGTTGATCTTCGTGCTTTATATTCTCGGGGTGTTGATCTTCTATTCTATGATGGGTTTTGAGACTGTTGACTATTTACACACATGATGTGGTTCTGTTTGGGCTTTGTGGCGGAATTCGAGCAAAATGGCTCTTGGGGTATTGAATGGTTGATTGCGCATTGGTTATAGTTTTCCTGTTTGCGGTATATTTTGTTATTCGTTACTCCATGGTTATGATCATGCACATTGCGTATTTGTTGTTGATATGCATATGGTTATTGATTAAGAGCATCATGGCTTGAGGTATTCTATGTGGACTGGTGTTTGGATTGGGTCACGCATCGCAGCGGAATTATGTTAGCAATATGATCCTTTGTGCTTATTTCGTGTGTGTTGTTTCTCCCTTGTATGATGGGTTCATAGCATTGCGCTTGTGGTGGTATCTGTTGAGCTTGTGGAACAGTTCTCTCATTTGACTCTCTTTCCATTTTTGGGTGCATTTGAGTTGTTGCTTGTTTGGTGCACATATGGCAATAGATGGTATTGGTGTAGCGTACCGGTCGAGTAGCTTATACTGGATGAGATGACGTTATTTGATCTGGAATTATTACTATCGTATTTGGTTAAGGTATGTTTCGAAGAATAATATTATATGTCAATTTATAATTTGGCAATGGTTCTTATCGGGCGATAAAGCTCCATGACTTATTGATTCGATGAATGGTTATGAGTTACTGCATAGTTCTTTCAGCAATGGCAGTGTACGAAAGTTTAGAACAAGATTTTGTTAGATATGAGGTTTGTTACCAGTACCAGGTTTGTTATTGAGCAACTATTGTGATCAGAAGTTATTGCTATGAGCATCTGAGTTATACGGTATATCATGTGAATATATCCTAGGTTATGGTTATAGCTTGATACAGTTTGTTTAGATTTGTGCAGTGTCTAGATGCGAGAATCGGGTCTTATAATGAATTCCGGATGTTGGAGATTGGGTTCTAAGGTTTGTGGACTAAGGTTGAAGTAAGGATTTTCAGTTAGGTGTGTTGTCAGACTTATATAGATTGTGGTGACATGGGATAACCCATGGGTATATGTGTGGTAAGTTTACACAGTAATTCGATGGCTTTGTAATGACTCTTGGCATGTTCGAGGATGAACATATGTTTAAGTAGGAAAAAATATAACGATCCGACCTATCATTTTGAGCATTTTTATCCTATTTGATGGTTCGAGCTGTTGAGTAGCTTCACAAATGTATTCTGACCTTCTTGTACGGTCGATTTTGGTTTTTGAGTGGTCCGAGATTGATTTGAAGAATGACTTTTATTTTAGAAGTTTTAAGTTGGAAGAGTTGACCAAATTTGACTTTTGTATATTTGACCTCGGATAGGAGTTTTAATGGTTCCGCTAGGTCCGGATGGTGATTTTTGATTTGGGCGTATGCCTGGATTTTCATGCGAATGTTCCTAGAAGATTTTGGCCCAATTTGGAAAAAGTTGACAATTTGAAGGTTTGAAAAGTTCATAAGTTTGACCAAGAGATAAATTTGATGATACCATGCTCGGATTGTTGCTCCGGAAGTTGGAATATGTTCATTATGTCATTTGGAACTTGTGTGCAAAATCTGAGGTGATTCTGAGTTGTTTAGACGTGTTCAGCGTAAGCTTGAAATTTTAAAATTTGAAATAGTTCATGAAGCTTGAATTGAGGTGCGATTCATCATTTTGATATTATTATGGGTGATTTGAGGCCTCGAGTAGGTCCGTGTTATGTTTTGGGACTTGTTGCTATGTTCGGATGGGGTCCCGAGGGGCTCGGGTGAGTTTTGGGGTAGTTTTAGACGATTTTTAGGCCCGTTTTCAGTTGCTGGTTTTTGGCTTCAGGTGTGTGAATCACGATCCTGGACCTTTGGGTCGCGTTCACGAAGAGCAAATTGATGTTTGGGCCTAGTGAATCGCGATCGTAGTAGCCTTTCTCGCGATCGCATAGAAGAATTTATGCTATCACAGGGCTGACTTTGAAAGCTTATATCTTGCAATCTGTAAGGAATTTGAGGTGATCCAAAACAAAGTTGTAGTCCTTTGTTTCTAGTTTTCAGAAAATCAAACTGTTTGTCATTTGGAATTCCACACGAAGAGTTATGACCATTTCACTATAGGCTATCTGGAAAGAGTCTTAAGGTTTAATGGAGTTGTTCATTGCGATCGCGGGGCTTCATGGTCGTGATTGCAAAGGGTAAAATCGTACTGGGCATCTGAACCGCGATCGCGAGGTTGGTGACCGCGATCGCGAAGGTGGCCTGGCAGTGGTATTTAATGTTCAAATTCAGGATTTAGAGTTTACTTTCTTCACTTTTTGAGTTTTTGGAGGATAAGTAAGGCGATTTTGGAGGAGTTAAAAACCCAAAACTTGAGGTTTTGAGCCGTTCGTAGGTCGATTTGCGTGAGATGGCATTTCTAGAGTATCATTTGAATTGCTCGATATTTGATTTGGCTTGCTTGGGGTAAGTATCTTACCTAAACTTGGTTGATCCACTAGTTTCCTGAGTTATTTATGATAGATATGTGATACGGGTGCGCATATGTGTGGGGATTGAGCCCATATGAAAGAACCGGAGTATTTATGCATGCTTGGGGTAGTGCTTAGGCTATGACATGCCTTGAATTGATTGTTAAGCTTTAAGCTGTGATGCTTCTCATAGTTGTAACCCTGCTATGAGCTATTTGATTCATGTTTTGAGGTTACATAGAGGCTAATCTCCTGATTGAACTTGGTATTTGCTATTTTTTGATGAAATTGCCGATTTGAGCTATGATAGCACACTTTGAACATGCATACATTGTAGCATGTCACTTATACCAGTCTAGGAGCATGAAATCTGATATTCATTGATCATATACATATGTTTTTGTATATTTACTTCTGTGTGATATGATTTGGACTGGATGCATGTGACCATGCCAAGCGAATTCTGTTGTTATGCCTATGACCACACCGGACAGATTGTGTTGTTATGTCTGTGACCACACCAAGCGAATTGTGTTGTTATGAATGTGAACACGCCGGGAAGATTGTGTTGCTATGCCAGGAGGATTATGATATTGAGCCTGTGACCACTCTAGGAAGATTGTGTTGCTATGCCTGTGACTATGCCAGGAGGATTATGATATTGAGCTTGTGACCACGCTGGGCTGATAGCACGTTGAATTGTTCGTGCTGTGTGTGGATATGGATCCATCCCCCTAGGGTCACCCTAGCATGTTTCTCTCTTGATGGTGTACACATAAATTATGATAACCCAATCGCTTACTGGTTGATGCGAGCTCTGGGAGAGCTGGTTATTGGTTTGGTTCGGTTATTTAGATTTAGATATGGGTCTGAGAGTCGTGATGTGAATTCTATTTGGATCGGGTTGCGGGCCGCAACGGATTGATATTTGGTTATTGCATTCCATCTTTACTTATAATTTTCCTTGGTTGTTACCTGATTTATTTGCATATCTTCCTTATATGCTGGATTGTTAACTACAGATTACGTTGAGAAAACCGAGAGCACCTATGTGGTTTTATCTGTGATTCCATGATTTGATCATATTTTCTATTCTGTACTTGTTGGGATTATGAATTGTACAGGTAATAGCGAGTATCATTTATAATTCTTGATTCTATTACCTCATCGGGGTTAGTTATGATACTTGCTGAGTACATGAGGTTAGTTGTACTCATACTACACTTTTGTACCTTACGTGTAGATCTTGAAGCTGAGATGTTGTGGATGACGGGAGTTAGCACTAAAGACATACATGCATTCCAGATATGGCTATCACTTGTCCTTGGTAGCTTTAGACTTGAATTTTATTTATGTACATTCCAAACCTGTGTTGTATTTATTTCATATCAGTTTTGTAATCTAAGTCTTAGTTGCTCATGAATTGTACTACCAATCATTGGGATATTGTATGGGAATTTAGTAACTTCACTTATTGATTTCATATTAATTTCAGTAGTATTGTGTTAGCTGTTATTTGGCTTACCTAGTGGGTTGGGTTAGGTGCCATTACGACTAGGCAGATTTTGGGTCGTGACAGTAATGTCGTGCAATTATTTTTATATTATAATGTGAGAATGAGAGTTCATGGCACTAAGTGTGTTTTCGTGAAGGCGAGAACGAGAGACATGCATTATATTGTGTTATCTTTCCCTTGCGTATACATTCATGCATTTATCCTCAGTTGTTATTGTTGTGCCTGTGCTTTCTATGTTGCTTGTTGTTGTCACATCTTTGCCTTCTACCTTGTTTGTTATTGTTTTATCATGCCTTCTATCTATTTATTTTGTCACATTCATGCTTTCTTTCTTGTTGTTATATTTACATCTATGTTTTCGCCCATTTGTCGTTGTTTTATTTAAACCTTTTATCTTGGTTGTTATTGAAATCTATGTTCTCCTACCTTATTTGCCAATCTGTGCCTCCTACCTTGTCTGTTACCATTATCCATATGCTTCTACCTTATTAGTTACTGTTATCTGTGTACCTTCTACTTCGTTGTTACTGTTGCTGGTATTCCTTCTACCTGGTTGGTAATGTTATACATATGCTTGGTGAGGATGAGATAAATGTATGAAGGGTGTTGTCGTACCAATTGATTTGACATACATGTATATATTTGGTGAGGATGAGGTAAATGATTTGATATCTTGCACACATTCCTCATATTATGAAGATTCGTGGGTTTACTATGTTGTTTTGGTGGTTATCTCCTTAACCTCGTGACTTGAGCTGTTAGAAAATGATTTGTTATGATATTGAGTAAACTGACTGTGACTTCTTTTAGTTAATCATTTACTACTTCTCATAATTTGTTTTTGTAATCTACTTTGTTATTTTTATGTTATTTCTATTGCAAATTTAACTGAACATGTTATATTAGTAAGTATCTTTTGACTTAAAAACCTCGTCACTACTTCACCGAGGTTAGTCAAGATACTTATTGAGTACATGTGGTTGATTGTACTCATACTACACTTCCGCACCTTGTGTGCAGATATTTGGGGAAGAGCAACTACGGAGTTCAAGAGTCTAGCATTGAAGATGTATCAGCACTCCCGATACAAGCTACCATTTGTTTGTTGTAGATTCAAAAGTTATAACTCTGTTTATGTAAATTTCTAACAGACGATGTATTTTTCCTAAATCTAAAATTGTACTTTTATTCATAGTCGCTCGTGACTTGTACTAATAGTCCTTAGAATAGTTGTATTAAACTCTTTTGGCTATTTTATTCATTATCTCTATTGGTATCTTATCATAGTAGTGACCTATATTGTTGGATAACAATTAAATTTGTACGTAGTTTTAAGGATACGTGATCTAGCTTGATACAAAATGATAAATCAGATTGAAATTGAAATAAACAATGGGAAGGTAAATGCAAACCGCACAAGTTGAACAGTCTTAACCTTAGAAGGTTAGCCGCCCTCGAGCCAAAAGTACTTTTATCGATATTAAAACAAAATGACAAGAAAATAATAAAAACTAAAAATAAGAATATATTGCTTTGGGATGCGAGTTATAGTGTCCGCAATATATTATCAGACCCCCTTTATATAGTAGAGGAGTCCTTCTTTAGGTACAATTCTATAAAAGGTAAACAATCTCTTGATTTGCTTATTGACGGTTCTTTATTGATACGTGCTGAGATTCCTGCAGCAATATCCGACCAGTCATGGATATTTTGGTCTTCTGTTAGTTAACTCAACAATGTCTCTCCGAGCTCGTTCGAGGCTAAGGTCGACATTGGACTCACCGCTAGTCGAAGGCAGGCGTTCCGACCTCGGGTCCTAGCTCGATGGGACTCAAGGCCGATCTTTATTCCTTGGCTGCCACGTTCCAAACCTAATCTACCAAGTCGTAGCCGAGCTCAATTTTGACCGTATACAGATAGTCCCCTCATTTTTCGGAGAGTAGATGACGAGAAACGACATGAAATTCCGATCCTGACTTCGATACTTTGTGATAGAAATGACAAAACAGTCGAAACATCTCGTCATTTAAATTTTAATGGCATTAAATGCTCGTCAGTTGCCGGTCGGCCATTCCCAGATGTAAACAATTGTTGGGAAGCTATAAATACCCCCTCATCAGCTCATTCAAACTTTACTTTCAAACCTTCTGACATCGTACCTTTTGAAATTTTAACACTTCCAAGCATTAAATTTCTGGCTATTCTGAAATCCTTTTATAAGACTTCAGCTTTGTTTTTATCCCAAACCATCAAGCTTAATCTTTTAACTCCCTCTCTTTTCTTCATTTATCAAAGAAATGGCGAAGACTTAAAAATTTGTTCCCCAAAAAGAAACTCCATCTGCCTCGCGACCGGTTGTTGAGGAAAACATTTCGCCTGCTGCTGCCGAGGAACCGACACCGGAACCTCCTCTAAAAATGTTCATCCCCGGGGGGTGCCCGGCCGGTGCTGATTTCAAGATCTAGAAGCCCTCCTCGATACCGGGTCGATGTGAGCCGGTCTCGCGATATATTTGCTCGATCACCGAGGACGCCCTCTCTGAGGCCAAGAAAGATTGCAATTGGGCTAATAAGCACGTAGTGGTCCCCAAGCCCGAGGAAGTCATCACTACCCACGTGGAGGGATTTCTAGGTGTTTACACTTATCCCTTCACGATGGGTCCCTTGGACCCGGTCATTTTTGCCTTGTTTAAGAGGTACAAGGTGACCCTTGGTCAAATTCACCCTTCTTTTTGAAGGATAGTAATTCTCCTCCATTTTTTTGTAAGCAAGATCGAGGGTTATCCCTTCACCCTCGACCATCTCATATGCTTATATAGTCCCCGACTTTATCGAGGGGGACTAACCCAGCTTGCCCCTCGGGACAGTAAGGCCCCGTTCTCGAGCATCGACGAAGATCGGGATCAAGGCTGGTTAGGACGCTTTGTTCGAATAAAGACCTCAGATTTGATCCCAGCCGAGCATATGCCATTTTCTGAGAAGTGGAACATGACACGTAAGTATAATCTTGCTTTAAAGATTTTGTTCATCGCTCTTTCTTTTTCTCTCTTCTCGTTGATGTTTTGTGGTGGTGCAGCTGTTGCTCGGATGCCAGATGCAATTCCTTGACTTAAGGAATGGGTCGAGGGCATCGCAACATAAAGGCCCTATTTCGAGCGTTCATGGTACGAGCTTTCGAAGGGCCGATGGGAGGCCCATTCCCATGGTGAGATTTTTCTTAAGTGGCATTTGATTTCCCTTATGCGTTGTTTGAGTTCTTACTCGTATTATTCTTTTGGCAGGTTTATCAAATGATGTTGCAATGAGGCCTCCACCCAGTGATGATGATATCCTCACCGAACCATCTACTATGAGGCAGGATAAACAGAAGAAAAGAAAAATGGCTCCGAGTTCTCCGAGCTTTGAGAAGAAGAAGCCAAGGAAAAGATTGGCGCATAAACCCAAGGAAAGCACCAGTGCTCGAGCACTGTCTCCGGACTCACTCTATCGATTGATGGATGAGTCCGATGGGGAAGAAGAAGCCTTCGATCTGGTGGCCAGTGTATCGCCGCAGCTCGAAGGGCAAGGGTCCTCCGAACCAGAGGGAGGCGAGGCCGATCTTCATCAAGTTGGGGAGGCCGAGGAAGAGGTAGGAACTGAAGCTTCCCAGGAAACGGGCAAAGCCCTGAAGGAATCACTTGGCCCGATAGAGATTGCTGAGTCTCCCTCTTTCACAGAGTCGATGTTCAATGAGGCCCAAGGTGCAAAAGAATGCCCCGTCGAGAGGGCCCATAGAGAGGACACCACCGGATTTGGCGATTTAGAGATACCGAGGAAGAGCTCTCCCTCTAAAGCAAGCGGGCCTTCCTCGAGCCCAAAATTCGTCTATTGATTCCCTACCCCAAGTGCTAATCCCGATCATAAGCGATCCATTATTCTCCCCCTTCCGGAGGATGCCCGAGTCCTCTCCGCCCCCGTAGGGGTGGCCAGTTATCTTCGCTGTCTGGTGACCGAGGATGATCAAGCCAAGATGAACGAGGTAGATGCACCTAGCCTTTTCAACAAAGCACAACAGGTGCTGAACCGGGTAACTTTATGCTTTCCTAAGTGAATTTTTTATTTACACTCAGATTATTTTGTAGATAACTTAGTGTTTCTCTTCGTTCTCGTAGGCCCCAGTGCTTCATCACTAGACCTTTTTAAGGTACCGGGATGAGCTGCAACAAATCAAAGCTAAAGTTCGAGAGCTCACTGAGAAGAGAGACGCCTTTAAACTTCTTAGCGAGCAGTTCGAGGGAGAGGTTAAGAACCTCCGTGTCAAGCTGGAAGTTGCTCGGAAGGAACATGCTGATTTGGTCGAGCAGGTAAAAGTTTTTGAGGTTAGTGATGATGAATTTGATTCGGTGAATAATGGTCTAAATCCGTAGGTCCAGCAAAAACTCGATCGCATTGACCAGCTCCGAGCTAAAATGGATATAGTCCAAGCTGAGACCAATGAATGGAAAGGCAGAATAAATCGTCTAGCCTCGGAAAAAGAGGCTACTCGGGCGCAACTAACTTTAGCTGAAATCCAGCTTAGAGCGGCAAAGCAGAGGGCTGATGTTCAGACCAAAAAGGTTGAGGAGCTCCAATCCCGGTTAGGTTCGGCTGTTTTAGATCGAGAAAGTCTGACCAAGGAGCTTAAAATGGCCAAGTCAGAGGTCATTGTGGTCAAAGTCGAAGCTGATGAAATGGTGGCCCAGTACAATGCCGATGCCAAGGCGGCTCAGGACCTTGTAAAAAACATAGTTGAGCATATGAAGTGGCAATCCCGAAGGGAGGCCCTCAAGGAAGTTCACGCTCGGGGTTTTGATTTATCGGCTGAGATCGAGAATGCCAAGGTTCTCGAAGCTGAGGCCAGGAATCTAGCCTATCCCAAGGAGGACGATTCTGAGGACTCAAGTAGGTTCGAGGGTGGAGAAGACCTCGAGAATCCTGGTGACGAGTTGGGCTCCGGCCAAGATCAGGCTGCTTAAGTGCCTTTGTCTGATTTTGTTTCTTTTCTTTTTGCATTTAGTACTTTGTTTCAAGGCCGTTTGGCCTTTGTAAAGATTATACTTCATAAATATAAATTTTCTATTTCTCTTTGATAATTCTCGAGTTTTTTCTTTGCCTTTCTTTTTATGTTTTGCAGAGATTGAAATGCCTTAGCATTAAATAGCCATGTTCGGAGTTTCGAACATGTTTTGCCTTTGATTTTATTTTTTCTAAGGCATCGTGGGAATCTGGTATGACCGTAAATTTTACCCAAAGTACTTATAATTCCTTAGATTTATAATTTTCCAATGGTACTTTTTGTTACGGGTTTCGGACGTCTCCAACCCGTTTTAATATAGTTGTAGCTTTTAGTTCGAGTGTTGCCCAATGGGTTTGTCACCTCGAGTTATCCGGACTTGCCTTAGATAAAGATCCCCGAACGGGGTTAGCCGTAGCTTTTTGGAGTTCGGGCAATGCCAAATAAGCTTTATGCCATCGGGTTTCAATATCCCGGAATGGTCGTAGTCTTTTAATTCGAGCAACGCCAAATAGGCTTTTTGCCCTCGGGTTTGATATCCTGGAATGACCGTAGCCTTTTAATTCGGGCAATGCCAAATAGTCTTTGTGCCCCCGGGCTTCGCTATCCCGGAATGGCCACAACCTTTTAATTCGGGCAATGGCAAATAGGCTTTGTGCCCCCGAGCTTCGCTATCCCGGAATGGCCGTAACCTTTTAATTCGGGCAATGCCAAATAGGCTTTGTGCCCTTGGGTTTTGATATCCCGGAATAGTCGTAGCCTTTTAATTCGGGAAATGCTAAATAGGCTTTGTGCTCCCGGGCTTCGATAATCCTAGCCGTCCGAGTTTGTTTTCGAATGGCAGCCTCCGATTGGGAGTGATCGTTTGAACCCGAATAAAGGCGGCCCTTGGGCTTGATACCCTTAGGGGAACGAATGTAAGAAATTCCTTAAAAGAAAAAAAGAGAAATTTTTACAGGACAAGATATTTATTCGCAAGGTAGAAATTTCTTTTTATTATTGTGCATAATAGTTACACATGTGTACAAGTTTTGTGCCAGGGATCTAATAGTCTATGCGGGAACGGTTTATATGACCGTTTGGCCCTTACAGTAAATCCTATCAATCGAGCCGGTACCGTTCAATCATAAAGTTTCCTTCCTTGCTAAAGTTGTTAAACTAGGGTGATGCCCCTAGTGTTCGGGGCCGAGCATAGAGAGGCCTCGAATATTGTTGTCATGACCTTCGATACCGGTTCGTAACCAGCCTTCAATTCTAAGTTAGTACGATTTACTGTTGCCTCATTAAAAACCTTACCGAAAAACCCATTTGGGACAAAACCGGTTTAAGAGAAAAAGAGTGCAACGCGCACTTTCAGACCTAAAAATTGTGTCGTTTCTCGATGATTCCCTACAAGTGTTAGTTCAGAATGTAAATAAATAAAAGGAAATGAATGGGATTGTACCTTAGCAATAGTATCGCTTCAAGTGAGCTATGTTCCAGTTGTTCGGTAATTGCTCACCATTCATCGTTCCGAATTTGTACGATCATTTTCCGGTGATCTCGATAATTTGATAAGAGCCTTCCCAGTTCGGACTCAACTTCCCTTCGTTCGGGTTTCGGGTGTTTAGTGTAACCTTCCTTAGTACCAAGTCCCCAACATTGAAGTGCCGAAGGTTGGTCCTTCATTGTAATATCTCTCGATCCGCTGCTTTTGGGCGGCCAACTGGACAGGGGCTTCTTCGCGCCTTTCATCTAATAAATCTAGGCTCATGTTCATAGCTTCGCCGTTCGATTCCTTGGTTGCATATCGGAACCTGAGACTTGGCTCTCTTACTTCAATAGGTATTAGAGCTTCAGCAACGTAGACTAGTGAGAATAGGGTGGCCCCAGTACTGGACTTCGAAGTAGTTCGGTATGCCCATAAGACTTCGGGTAGGATTTCCTTCCACCTTCCTTTGTCGGTTAACCTCTTTCTGAGGTTTTGGAGTATGGTTTTATTGGTCGATTCTGCTTGCTCGTTCCCAATAGGGTGGTAGGGTGTTGATAAGATCTTTTTGATCGTATGATCTTCGAGAAACTTGCTTACCTTGCTGTCGATGAATTGTTTCCCGTTGTCGCACACGATCTCGGCCGGCATTTCGAATCGACATATGATATGATCCCAAATGAAGTCGATGACTTCTTTCTCCCTGACCTTTTTGTATGCCTCGGCTTCCACCCACTTAGAAAAATAGTCAGTCATAAATAATATAAATTGAGCCTTACCGGGTGCCCATGGAAGGGAGCCGACAATATCCATTCCCCACTTCATGAACGACCATGGTGACAAGACCCGATGCAGCAGTTCCCCGGGCTGATGAATCATCGAAGCATGTCTTTGACATTCATCACATTTTCATACGAACTCTTTTGCGTCCTTTTCCATATCGATCCAGTAATAGTCAGCTCTGATAACTTTTCGAACCAGCGACTTGGCGCCTAAATGATTTCCACAGGTTCCTTCGTAGATTTCCCTCAAAATATATTTGGTGTCCCTTGGTCCTAGTCATATCGCGAATGGGCCATCGAATGCCCTTCTGAATAGGGTTCCATCTTTGGATAGACTAAACCGGGCTGCCTTTGTATGTAGGGCCCTCGATTCCTTTGGATCTGATAGCAGTTTTCCGGTCTTCAGGTATTCTATATATTTATTTCTCCAGTTCCAAGTTAGGCTTGTTGAGTTAATCTCGGCATGGCCTTCCTCCACTACCGATCTCATAAGTTGTACGACTGACCCCGAGTTAAATTCGTCATCCTCGACCGATAAACCTAGGTTAGCGAGGGCATTGGCCTTACTTTTGATCCCGAGGTACGTGTTGCAAAGTCCATTCTTTGAATCGATGTAATGTTACGTGCAATTTATCCAGGTACCTTTGCATTCGTTCTTCTCTGAACTCGAACGTCCCATTAACTTGGTTTACCACAAGGGCAGAGTCGCACTTAGCTTCAATTATCTCTTCCCCCAAGCTTTTGGCTAGCTCGAGACCTACAATCATGGCCTCATATCCGGCCTCACTGTTAGTTAATTTCATAGTCCTAATAGATTGTCTAACTACATTGCCTGTTAGTGGCTTCAATACGATTCCAAGTCCGGATCCTTTTGCATTTGAGGTGTCGTCCTTAAAGAAGGTCCAGATCCCCGAGGAGGTCCCTGAGTTGATTAATAACTCTCTTTCGACCTCGGGTATTAGGGCCGGCATAAAGTCAGCTACAAAGTCCGCCAAAATTTGAAACATAATGGCGGTCCGGGTCAATATTCAATATCGTACCCAATGATTGCCACAGTCCATTTGGCCAACCGGCCCGAGAGCTCGGGCTTATGCATAACGTTTCTCAACGGGTAAATAGTTATGACACATATGGGGTGACGCTGGAAGTATGGTTTTAGTTTCCTAGAGGCGCTTAGCAAAGCGAGCGCCAGTTTTTCTAGGTGAGGATGCCTAGTTTCGGCCTCACCGAGGGTCCTGCTAACATAGTAAATTGGAAATTACGTACCTTACTCTTCCTGGACCAGGACTCCACTTACCGCTATCTCCGATACTGCCAAGTACAAGAATAGTAGTTCATCTGTCTTCGGCGTGTGAAGCAGCGGTGGGCTCGATAGATATCTCTTGAGTTCCTCCAGGGCCCGTTGGCACTCCGGGGTCAATGAGAAGTTATTCTTTTTCTTCAATAGTGTGAAAAATCGGTGGCTCTTGTCGGATGATCTCGAAATGAATCGCCTCAGAGCGGCTATGTGCCCGGTTAATCTTTGCACGACCTTCACGTTGTCCACAACCGTGATGTCTTCGATGGCTTTGATTTTGTTGGGGTTGATCTCGATTCCACGGTTGGATACCATGAACCCGAGGAATTTACCTGATCTAACTCCAAACGCTCATTTCTCCAGGTTCAGCTTCATATTGTATTTCTTTAATATGCTGAAGGTTTCCTGCAAATGTTTTAAATGGTCCTCTGTTCGCAAGGACTTAACCAACATATCGTCAATGTAAACCTCCATTGATTTTCCTATTTGTTCCTCGAACATCCTATTTACTAGGCATTGGTAAGTGGCACCGACGTTCTTTAAACCGAATGGCATCACGTTATAGCAGTATGTGCCGTATTTAGTGATGAATGAGGTTTTTTCTTGATCACCCGGGTTCATCCGTATTTGGTTGTACCCGGAGTAGGCATCGAGAAAACTAAGGATCTCATGGCTGGCCGTGGCATCGATCATTCGATCGATGTTGGGCAAAGGGAAAGAATCCTTGGGATATGCCTTATTCAAATCCTTATAGTCTACACACATTCTTAATTTGTTCCCCTTTTTAGGGATTACTACTACATTTGCTAACCAATCCGGGTATTTAACCTCCCGAATGGACCCTATTTTAAGGAGTTTAGATACCTCATCCTTGATGAAAGCAAGTTTGACCTCGGACTGGGGTCTCCTCTTCTGCTTGACCGGATGGAACTTCGGGTCTAGGCTCAGCTAGTGAGTGGTTATCTTCGGTGGGATCCCTATCATATCAAGGTGGGACCAAGCGAAACAATCTATGTTAGCCATAAGAAACTGGATGAGTTTTTTCCTAAGCTCGGGATTTAGACCCGTGCCCAGGTATACATGTCGATCGGGTAGATGCTCGACCAATATGACCTGTTATAGCTTCTCGACCATCAATTTAGTGGTGTCGAAATCATCGGGGGCTATAAAAGACCTGGGTACCCTGTAATCATCATCTTCATTAGTCCCCTGTTTTTCCGGTTGGGTAGGAGCTAGTGTCGGTAATTGCTATTTAGTTTCTGGCTTTGTGATCGAACTCGACCCCTTTGTCATTGTAAGTGCGGATATCGGAATCGCCTCTTCAACCGCAAACATCTCCTTGATAGCTGGATGTTCTCCATAGACCATCTTAATTCCATATGGTGCTGGGAATTTTAACACTTGGTGCAGAGTTG